TAATTTATTAGCAATCAAACTTAACACGTCCAGTTTTTACTTGAATTAGAGACGATGAGGGTAAATGTTGTGTTATTAGCTCAGTGGTTTAAAAAGGAAGGAACACGAAAACCCCTTTATAAGAAATAAGCATTAGAATAAGGAGTACATACCTTTGTTTATATCCAGTATAGTATCCAGTACAGTATCCACAATAGCACACAGCGTGTCCCTGAAGGAGCCCACAATTCCACCCATGAAGTCATTCGTTGAATGGAAAGCTCGTCTACCGACAACCACAGGGTCCACATAGCTGAGGTAGAAGTTCCCTGTGGTTCATATGGAGAAATATTTAGAGGTACAGTTACAGCATGGAGGGCAGCCATGCATGCAGAAATGTTATCGCGTAATGTTTACATCATAAGTAATTTATTTTCAATCGAAAACGAGTCAAAGGAAGAATGTTGCGACTCTTTGATCCAGTAGGTGTCGCCCTTGAGCACCAGCATGAAACCAAAACAAACTGCTGTTTGGTGACACAGCCGCTATTCTGAAGCCTCCGCTCTCCTCCAGCGACACACCTCTAACCCCCTCCACTTGCTTGCGCAAAGGAGTAAGTGGCAGACAAAAATGTCCTTGGCTGGAGGTGCAATTGCCTGTGGCCTGCAATGTTGTGTTAGTGGGCTAATATTAGCGACACTAGTTAGCTTGTAGCTTCACATTGCATGTAAAGTGACACAGAATGACCGCAATCTATAAATGCTGAGTATGTTATTTTTCTGTTCTCTAGTCCTTGACTAAAACAGCTTGTATGCTAGATTATGAGCCGGTCCATGTAGACATGATGTTAACACGGCTCTGACAACAACACAGCCAGCAGGACTCGAGCTTCTCACTTATTGTAGACGGTCTTGACTCAGAGAGACATTTACATAAAGTAGGAGAAACTTGAGTTCTGCTATATTGATTGGTAAAATGTCACACAGTCTTCTTTTAACATGTTGCGTTGTCTCACGCATGCATGGTCGTCTATTACTTCCATTTGTATGCTAAAACGAGTTTTTACCTTCCTCGTCTGAAAAGTAGCGCACAAGTCCATCTTTGGCTTCCGTTACTTCTTCAGCAGCGTACGTGGCAGCAGACATAGGGTCACTTAAATCAGGTGCACACTCTACGCACACAGAAAAGAGTCAAGTATTACAGCGGTTGCTTCAGTACTATTAAAATGATATGACCTGCTTGTTGTGGCTCTTTTCTTCTACCTTGAAACTTGTTGAGAAGACTGGAGACTTCATCTACGGCGTCGTTTACAGCTTGCACGGGGTCCGTCATGATTTGCTGGATGTCTAAGAACAGTAACAGACATATGGATAAATACACACATCTGATGACTCAGACATAGTTTCAGGTGTTTGGGACTTACCAGGGACTGCCTTGTATTCCACAAAGTCAAACATCACTACTCCCACCACCAGCCAGGACAGCAGAGCAGCCAGGGCAATCAGCAGCTCCGCAGACATTTTGAGCTTACCAAGGATCCCAAAACCTGTTGACCTGAGAGAGCTCGCCTGTGCCGCTCCATTTGTCCCGCCGGCTGCGGAGGACGATCTGGCTCCTTCATTAATAAAAAAGAAAAAAAAAAAAGACACTGAAGTTACTGTGAGAACTTAGTAAGATTTCCCTATTTAGTTGTTGTGTTGTATAACTTTATTTCTGCTTCTCTGGATTTGTCTGCTTTGTTCTTTTACCATCAGTGATTTACAATAGCTACTGTTTTCAAGAGGTCAACATAGACCGTATAAATATGGACGTCAACTTAATGATGTCACCCATTGGTGTCTAATGCAGACTTTTGAAGCCAATTAGGGGAAATCGCCATATTGGAAATGCCGTCTCAAACTAACTTTCTGCTATCCTTCAGCCTCCTGACAAGCAGCTACAACGCGCCTGACGTTCAGTCAGCTCAGCCATAACCATACTTATGAATAACTCTTAGCCATAATATCATCAAATGATACGTTTTTGAATTTCAAGTAAAACGGGCATTTTTGAATGGGGTTTGTAATACTTTCAGTTATTTTGCAGCCAGCCTCTACTGGAGACCCGTTCTGCAGGTTTCAGCACTCCTGCATTGGCTCCATTCATTCAACACACTTGCTCAAACGCCACAAAAAGTTTTAATTCATCACAACGTTGAGACCAGAGGTTGCCTTCAATTAAAATATATTATTAAAGCACAGTGATGACAAAGAAAAGTGTTCAGCAATCAATCCACCACTGCCATGAGGTGCTGATTCAACATTTTCTAGACTCTGCTTAATGCATGTAAATAAAGAGATTACGTCTTTTTATACTGAGCTCGACACATTTCACAAATAGAGACGTTTCTTTTAGAAGAGAAGGAATATTTACTTTTCAGGTCTATCTTTGTAATACTTATAAAACAGTGTTTTGATGGTCTTTGATTGAGAATGTTGTTCAGTAATTGATAAGAAACTGATCATAACATATTTAAATAAAACATATAAGTATTCATTTAAGCCTTTAAACATGTTGACAACCTACTAAACCTATTAAAAAACATCAGTAGATTAGGATGGTAAAATCACAGCCATCCACAACAGAATAATAATAAAGATAATTGTCGTGATCATTGCATCAGTTATCCACTCATGACAGCCAGGCACGTGATTTCAACCTCGGTACAGTGGAACATTTTGTGTTGGCATTAAATGACATCCTGGCCACCATCAGGTAACAGAGTGTAGCTAGTTTAATTTTCCAAGTCTTAGAGACCTTGTAACAGGTGAGCATGCCTGGCTCATGATTCACTTCCTCTTATTGAAAATGCTTACATGTAAAAAAAAAAAAAAAAAGTCCCTTTTAAGAATTGTGCTGGATCAACTTGTGGTGTCACTGTTTCACCCCCAAATTTAGACAGTTTCTAAAATAAATGGCATGATTTTCTCAATACTTAAAGCCTTCATTAGACAAACATTTGGTTTCCAAATACAACTTTTTGGCGCATATCACATAATAAGACTTATTTATTTTAAATGGTGAGTTAAGAAAGTTGCTCTAAAAACAGAGGTCAGCTGCAGCAGCAGTCATGTCTGTCACAGGAGAGCAATACTAATACCTCGGCTATATGATATCCTGTATTTATAGCAACCAACATTCAACACATTTTCCTATGATGAGCCCAAACCCTATCAAAACACTACCATGACATTAGCATCTATTACTCAGGATGTCTACGCTCTCATAAACAACTGTGAACATAAAAGTGAACTGTAGAAGTTGTATAATGTATAAGTATAAGTGCTGATGCAGGTGTGACAGTCCTACCTTCAGCCATGGTGAATTGGAGACAATTTCAGGTATTATATTTTGAGTGGGGGGCAAAGCCTCCTCATGCAGTGACGTTTATAAAATCACAGCTTCAGTAAGAATCCAATCAGACTCCACTGGTGGCAAAAACAAAAAAAAATAGTCCCTTTGTTGTGAATTATTCCATTTTCCACTTGAGGGTCACTGTCTTGTTTCCTGGACAATCTAATCCACAGGTTGAACTTCTCCCTAGATTAAAAGAAGAAGAAAAAACCCCTGAGATTTACAGGTGCTGGTGAATTTGGAGCTGCCAGTGCGGCAGCATTGAAGAGGGGGGTCTGGGGACGCCGGGGCAGAGGAAAGCAACGCAGGGGGGGATGGAAAGAGCCAAGCTAAGCACAAGGCAGGGCAGAGAGAGGGGAACGGACAGAAAATCCCACCCAGTGTTATTGGTGCCTCACATGGGTATAGGTCAGAGAGCAGAACAGGGAGGCTTCAGGGTAACTCGATCCCTCAGAAGGTCCTGGTTATTCTTAGCTGGAGCTCTGCACACCAGCCGCTCTGCAGGCCTTTTTTGGCATTCAAAGGGGTGTGTGTAAATCAGTTGACTGAACTGGGCAACTCAACTGGTGGCGGTTTAATCTGCCCACTAAACTGGAACAGATCAGATGCCCATGCTGAGGAATGGACAACATCACAGGAGGAAACTTTAAAAATCCTTCAAAGCACTACAAACATTTGTGTTGACTCACTGCCAGCAGTGGTAATGTATTCTTCAAGGATTGTTTTTTAAAAATCTGTTTCTCATTAATGTCTCTAAAAGTGTTATTACATTTGGTTTGATGTCGTAGCTTCAAAGCAAACATGTTCCCCAAATTATAAACTACCTCAGAACCTCACCAATGAACCAAAAAGAAAGGCCCAGCATGTAAATTACAACAGCGCCATCTTGTGATCATTAAAGCAAACTACAACACCTTAAACTACTGTTTATTGCTGTGTATCTTAATATTTACAGTCTATGGTGCATACAGTGCACAACTGTATGCACCATAGACTGTAAATATTAAGATACACAGCAATAAACAGTAGTTTAATTAGTACAAAGCGTACAAAGCCCCTAAAGGCCCAAAAAGTAAAAAAAAAATATATATTTTTTTATTTTTATTTTGTACTTTTTGGAAATTCAATCCCAGGGCTTCGTACATTAGTCTTAAACGTTTAAGTTTAAGTTAAACTAATGAAGTTAAAGAGAAGTAGATGTAAAAGACACAATCATGCTAATTGATTTTGTTCATAATTTGTTAAATATTAACTTAATGTAGACGTACGTTACTGTACCAAATGTGGTTAATATTGATGCTTTAGCTGCTACATGGAAAAACTGCAAATAACAATCTCCTGTTAGCACTGAAGGAAAGTCACTTCATGAAAGCTACTACTGGGACTCACCTTCTCAGAAAGTTGAATATCAACAGGCCTACAACATTTCACAACAATTCCTCTGAGAGCTGTTCAGATATCTGACAATTGGAGAGTTGTTTTACTCTCACTGGGGCCACGCCATAAAAAGTGCTATAAAATGAGCATTTTCAATAAATACACAGTGAAAAAACTTTATTGACATATGAAAAAAAAAACATCTGTTGGCCTGCATATGATACATGTCATATAGCCTACCATGAGCTTATTGGCTTTAACTGGAGCAATAAAGAGATTCACAAGCTGCACAATATTCCAGATAAAATGCATTAGAAACAAATCAAACAAATGCTTCACAAATTCACTATCATGTATGCTTTTTACAGGGAAGTTGCAGAGCTGGGGGCCACAGGCCTGATGATGAGGGTCAGCTCCATGGGTACAGGTGGAGGAACATATCTCTCCTCTCTGAGCAGCCGTAGTAACAAATCCTCAGTGTCCTGTGGCCAGCGGTACACACGAGTGTTCAGGAGCCAGGTTGGTACGTGCTTCTGCATTTTTACATTTTGTGTTATGGTTAAGAAAATGTTGTTTAAGGACAGAAGTGGGGGGGGGGGATAAGACAAGATATTAACAAACCTCAAAACTTCAGAGTTAAAATAAATGCTTTGGTTGTTATTATAAAGAAATAGTCTTACCTGGGATGCATTGGGGAAGAGAACAGGTATGAATCTGAAGTTCAAACTGCCTTGCTGAATAAATTCAGTCTGCATCTGGCAGAATAAATGTTATAATATAATATTATTATATTCAAAGTTTTAAGTATAAGCAAAATATTCTCTCAGAATTATATTTTATTTACAGAAGATTAAAAAAAAACAAAAAAAAAACGTCCTCACCATGGAGTGAATATATTTCGTCTGTAGACCATGACTGTCCACGACTGATCCTTCAGTGTCATCCTTATATTTTGGACTGATGGCAACGATAATTAGGTTTGATGGCTGTGGGAAAAAAAAACATTTTACTGGCTTTATCGCTGCCTGAAAAGACAACAGCAACGTGGAATGTAAATAGATTTGTTTTCTCTTAGTAATTGCTGATTTTTTGTACAATGTTTGCAAAGACTGTATTTAAGGTTTTAAGAGCTGTTTTCCCCTACGTCTTTCAGGTAGCTATCCTTCCACTTGTTGATGTCCATGCGCCTGATAGGGCTGTCAAATATGTCAATCTGAAAAATGACATTCAGTAGTGTAAGTTTACAATCAAATGCCGACCAGAGGCTGTAATGTTTTTATTTGAAGTGCACACAAAGTGGCTTACAGCTGGTCGGAAACCTTGTTTTGTGAGAAAGTCCACGAAGGGGACGATCTCTGAAGAAACGTCAGAAGAATAAGTTATAAAAACATTTCCTGAAAAGAAATAACAGAAAAATCCAATTAATATTCAACAGCTTTGTGGTCTTGAAACTGCAAAAAAAAAAAAAAAAAAACAAGCCCCAACAGGCCAGGCAGGTTTGTTAAACAAATACATTAATAATAAAAACAACCCCTGATTCCACCTAAGACAAAGGCACTAATTAAAAGCATTTTTCATTAAGTCCCTTACTCAATAAACTCAGGAGCTGTCAAGATTCATTTCACTCAATAGAAACTGAGTGGCACAAACAGAGGGCGGCCTTAAACACAAGCACCTTCCTTCAGAGTGAAATGACTCACGGCACTCATCCGGCAGACTGATGGTCCTTCTTTTCTCGTGTTTATGTGAGACGGACTCCTCTGCTGCTCCGGCTGAACTCGGGTTCATGACGCTGACCTGTGACACGCCCTCCACAGGCGGGTTGAAGAACTGGGGCACGTTGACCGAGACGCATCCTGAGCCAGGCTGGGGTTCATTAAGTCATCCCGACTCCTGAGCCTGAAGCAGCAACATAGAAAAAGATTCAGAAAGGCTCTGCATTTGAATAATGCTGAAAGGTAATGAGTTTGGGTGAAAAAAAGAGCTCTGGTATATTGCATTTTGCATAAATATTAACCATGAAACTCAGTTCTGTTGTTTTTACCAGTTGTGGGGGTCATCGTAGGGTCTCATGGGCTGCCGGGGAGCAGGACAGTAATATGGCTGAGGAGGGAATCTGTTGGTGGGATTAAAGTTGTTCTGCCTTTCTCCTGCAGTATCATAAAACCTAACATCCATGGTATGACGAGGCTCTGTGGATGCAAAATATTTCTTTGTGAAAGCACCTGATGAAAAGTTGACGAGCTTAGAGGCAGAATATACGCCCCCCCCCCCCCCCAGTTCATAAAAAAGGCACAAATGAATGCAAATCAAGTTTTTAGCATAATAAAACTCAGCTGCTGCTAACTGAAGCTTTCACTGAAGGTTAGTTACACAAGTGACCTACCTGTACTTAACTTAAACACTTAAACATTTTCACCATAGTCACCATAGTTAAGGTTTGAATTATGAACATTTTACAACAAATCCTCTCAAATGTTAGGTTGCATTCATTTACGTAAACAAATGCGTTACATAGGACTGCAAATCATGCACATACTTACCTGCACAACTGCATCACTCCTTCATTGCACCTTTTGTACATTTTTATATTCTATTATATATTTTGAGTTGCTCTTTATATTTGTATCTTATTCTCTTTAAGTTGTCAGCAGGAGCTCTGCTGTTTTTATACTTCCTTTGCCAAGTCAAATTCCTTGTATGCGTAAATGTACTTGGCAACAAAAACACGTTTTTTTTTCCTAACATTAAAATCTTGCTGAAATTATTTTTCGCATTCGTAATAATAATGGACATGAATAGGCAAGTTTTGAAATGGAACATAGTAATGCATGATAACTTTTACTTTTTATTCTGTTAATATAATGTTTATATCATCAGCTAGTATTTTAACTTGTATTTTTTTTTTACTGCTGCATTTCCTTCTGTAACCTTAACTTTTTTGGTTCTCTTGTCATTTTTACAGTTTTGGCATCATCTGGTAATAAATAAATAAATAAATGAGTAAATAAACTCTCTCGGCAGAGTTCTCCTACCATAGTCGTGTCTGTGGTGTTGAGGAGGAAGATAAGGACTGTAGTGTTGCCACTCATCATCAGCTCTTAGCGGCAAAGGAGGCTCAAGTTCCTCCTCATCGCTCTGAGGTTGAGAGCTGTAATCACCCCTGCTTTCTAGAAACGCTAAAGAAAAAAGAAAAAGACATCAACCCATAAAAACATCCAATCCAATTCAAACGCCTTATTTTTAACGGAGTTCCTGACATCGACATGATTTTTTTCCTCAGTCACCTCATGCTGAGTGTATTTGCAGGTCCTGTTCTACTCTGCTTTCCACAACAGCAGCACTCTCCTCCAGTGTCAGTCTCCTTGGTGTGTGCAGGACGATAGAAGTAACCACCGGAGAGAGTGATGATGGAGATTCATCCCGACAGAAGTCGCTCCTCCACTGGTCCGGCTCTCTGTGCTGCATCAGATCTTCACTTTGTGCAGCATGAAACATGAACATGTGGCTCGCCTGTTCGACTCTGCGTGGGCTCTTCAGGGAGAAATAATCTCCATGTAACAGAGTGGTGTGACTCTGTCATGATGTGGATTAGCGTGAAATATTCTGTTTACTGTGACTTCAGGAGTGAAAAATGGAGGGTGACTTTTAGACTCATTTGAAGAGGAAGGTACTTTTTCAGATTCTCCATCTAACCAGGTTAGTGC